AATTATTTAGCGGTTTTAGCCTGGTGCAGATAAAATGGGGCAACGTACATCATATCAGAAATCGACGTGCGAAAAATCAATAAATTATATTCGTGTTCACGTAAAACAAGCCCTAAAATTATCAATGAAATTTCAATTGGAGATAACGCTGATGTCACGAGGCCAGTAGTGCCGCTCAAAGTTAGATTTTTCCGATAAGCATCGATTAAGCAAAAATTTATTGAATGGCATGATAATTTGATAAGTAGCATAAATTCCATCAAATTCTATCAACACGCAATGTAAATAAATATGAAAAGGTCTGATAAACAAGCATATATAAAGGTATATTCACAAACAAAGACATATTTATAAGGGCAAGCAAATTTTTGTAAATAAAAGCATATTTGTAAATAACTGATATAAGTAAATGAACAAATTACAAAATAATTAGGAAAAACATAAATAGCACTAAATTTCATTTTTATTCAACATAACATGCATCAATTACATATTTTTATCAACAAAATGCGTTACATAACGATATATTCAAGAAATTGTTAAATTCTGCCCTGACATAAATGCTGAATGTGTTGTGTTGTGGCTATTGTTTGTTGTTTTACTGTTATTGTCTTTGCCGTTGTTGTTATTATTGTTGTTGTTGTTATTGTTATTGTTATTGTTGTTGTCGTTGCTGTTGTTGTTGTTGTTGCTGATGGTGGTGGTGATGTTATATATTCGTGATGTCATATTTTAAACTACCCCGATTATTGATTACTTATCCCTTTTTATCCAGATAATGATAAGTTAAATTATTCATTATGTTTCCCTTTCAAATATTTCCCTTTCATCGTTAATTATTAATGTGATTTTAAATAAAACAAAAATTTTAAAGATTTTTTCAAGTGTTTTTAGTTTACATTGTTTTGATTTTTTCTTGCATAAAAGATTTTAATCAGTAAAAATATGAATTGATGTAAGCAAATGAACAAGCTATAGAAAGCTAAAATAAATATAAATAGTAATGAATTTTATTTCTGTTTATTAAATCATCTTTTCCTTACCAATTGATAATCCACGCATCCTATTTTCTCAATCTCTTTGCATCTTTTCATATTGATCAGTTAATGAATTCCGGATAATCTTTGAATCAGTTCTTATCAATGTGCTTACTTTCAGCCAGTTGCTGACTGTAGTGATAAAAGTTGGCGTTGCGTCATTTGGTCATTATCAATTTTCGATTATTGCTCAAATAGCAAGAAAATTGCCAATGATTTGTGCCCGAAATCATGTGGTACTTGTTCTGATCAATTGAGAAACAAACCAAAAACACCAATAACAACAACAATAAAGCCTGGAATGAAGTCGATCATACCAGGCTTGCCATCAGAACTACCTATTAGCACCAATATCAATATTGCGGAAATACAGCATACAACCACCACTACTCCTTCTAATACTGTTACTATTATTATTACTACTACTACTACTACCACTACTACTACTACTACTACTACTACTACTACTACTACTACTATTACTACTACCACTACTACTACCATATCTACTGGCATATCGACAAGCATTTTTGAAAGTACAAGTAAGTTGATTTATAATGTTTTAAATCGCAAAGATTTAAATTTATGCATAATTGACTCAGCAAATTATTTTAGAATTATAAATATGAATTTCTTAAATAAATTGAATTTATTTCTAATTATTGTGAAAGTTCTGGAAATATTGTGTATATGGTCGCAGTCGAATATTGATTGACGGCAGTTTATTGATAGAAGGGGAAGTATTACACGTTAAATACAAAGTTGATCACCAAGTTGGTTGAATTGATTGATTAAGTCGGAGCGCACTGTTCCCTGAGTGATTTGGGTATATGCTGTTGAGTGAGTTACTAAATAACGAAACTGTAGAACGATCTCTTGCAGAATGACTTGTGTGGAATGACTTATGTGGGATGACCCCTCCACTGTTTGCCCATATCCCTTACATAGTGGGAGCTTGTTTACAACAACCTAAGAGGTTAGAACCAACTGACCCCAAGATGACCCGAAATTCTTTGCAATATGCCGACATTGAACTAAGATCCTTCACAATATGCTGACAGTGATGTGAGATTCTTCATAATATACCGACATTGATCGGAAATTTTTTTACAATATACGCATATAAACTTGATTATTAACGTGAGCTGATTTATAACATCTTACAAGACGAGTTGAGTGTTGTAAGATAAAATGTCGACATTATTTTTGTTTTAAAAATATCCCGGTTCTTACCAACATTCCTCGCTGAAGGAGATTCAAATCTTCAAATATATTGAAATACGGAAGGAAGAATGTGATACTTCTGTTAGAATTTGTCAATCTCTTTGCTGCACTCCTGGTCCGTTGAGCGATAGGTACTTCTTGTTTGTCGACCTTCTGTACTGACTTTTCAAGAGTTATTGATTAAATTCCTGAGTTTTCTTCATCGTTATTTTCCGGAGGATATAGTCTGTCAAGGAAATTTCCATGTGGTATTTATGTCGTAGTGCTTCTAACTTCTCCATCTCTTCCTCTTTTTAATTTCCTTTATTTTTGCTAATTTCCATATGTCACAAGATATTTGCAGTTCACTAACTACTTCTTATGAGGACTTCTTGTCCCACGTTTTTGAGGGAAGGACATTCTCTTTGAGACTTTGAATTTAAGGGAAGGAGGTTTTCTTTTTGATTTTCGTATTGAAATTTTTACCGTTTAAAAGAAATTCTCGAATGTTTATTGATCCTCGATAAAAATGGATTCCATTTTATCGTATTTTTGGAGTGTTTCTTCCGATCCTTTTGCCTATATGTTAAATATAGGTTCTCCTTTACTTACAAGACATTTATGCTATATGAGTTTCTAAGTGACGGTCAACAGCTGGTGATAATGGAAAATAGGAGAGTGATATCACTTCAAAGAGAATTCTTTAGAAGCGATAAGATCGTTTCAGTTACTTGTCCTTGAGTATTCTTTAGCCAAAGAAATTGGGTCCAATTTCCTTCGAAGGATGTAGTTCCAATTGTAGATATATCTTTTTTATATCAGCCACTATTACGTTTTCCACCATTCTAAAACGAAATAATACTCCTAAATCTAGGAGTGTTATTGGCGTCCGATATAAGACGTCATTTAGACCTTTCATTCCTTTAAGATGTGCTGATGCATCATAAATAATTCTCAACTTTGTCGTTTTTACTGGAGTTGTGACTTCGTGATGAGGTAAGTAATGAATAATACCAACCTGGAGCCATATTTCTCCAATTATATTGGAATTTGATAGGTCTCGAATTACTTCATTTATCGTTGAACTATGTGTCCATCAGTCTGAAATAGTTTCATTAATGTTTTTAGACGACCAAGGCATAGACCATAATTTTTTCTAGACTCCGTAATTACACCATAATTGCCACTTAATTTAACCTTGCATTCTTTTCGCAGCCAACGGACTTGATATCTTGTTCTTCCGAAAATAAGACAGGGTCTTATATTATTCCCTTCCCTTTCTTTAAAAGAAAAAAAAAAAGTGCTAGGGCTTATTTTCAGATGTCTTATTTTCGGGAAAACATGATAACTGCGGTGCGATTGCAAAGGCAAATGCTTGAATATCAACCCTGCATATAACCAAAGCTTTTTCTCTCCTGTCAGCAATCCATTCACAGATAATGTGTTCCGGCTCTGGAAATAATGGTTGCCGACCCGATCCATTACTTATACTTCTTAGCATCCCCCTTGTTCACTTGTTCGCTGAGATTATCCTACTCCGCTCGCCATTTTCGAATCAATGAAAGAGATAACTAAGTTTTTTCTTTGCAGAAAGCTGTAAAGTTTTTGTCTTGGGAATCCTCCACCATTCCTTTCTTGTACTCTACAAAATGGCTTTTTCTTCTATTTATTTTGTCTTTTATCACGTGAGGAGACCAGGTATTGAGGAGCATCAGAAAGTGTAGAGGCTCAGCACGGAGAGCGGTGCTCCCCCGAGCCATGCTAACCGGTTACGAGGCCGGGAAATGGCCAGCAGGGAGTGGGAGTGGACCCAAGGCCTCATCCAAGGTTTGGCTGCAGGGAGCGACAACACTGGTGCTCCTTGCGACTGTGGCTAGACCGAACTAGGTCTTATTTCCAGGGGAAGGCTTACAGGGCTTATATTAAGCTCCTTCCTGAAAATGTCACTAGGACCTACTTTCAGAGGATGGTTTATTTCCGGGGAAACATGATATCTTCCTCTTTGTTTGGTGATAGTTCTTTTGAATTGTTCCAATGCTTTTTTGTCATCTCAAGTTGTTCGCGAATGCTTATGATTTCTAGATTCTAGAATTGATCTATATCTGGTATACCAGTCACACTAGCCAAATTTGTTGATTTGGCTTTGACCAACATTGTATTAGAATTATAAAATTTATTTATGTATCCATTTCCGGCTATCATGATCCAAATTTTGGAGCAAGGAAAATCCTGATTTTATAGACCTTATCTAGCTAGAGAAATTTGAAGAAATAATCTATCCAATAAGTATACCAAGTTGTTTTCCTTTCGACCATCGAATTGACCTTAATTTATCATAGGTAATAGATCGTAATCGTTTGATTTAAAGTATTTGTGAGGCAAATGAAACAATATTCAATTCTTCTTCCATTTCTTTTAGATTTAATCGATTTGCTGAATCCTTGGGTATGAAGGATATCTGCAAACCAATATCAGACAACGTTAAAGCATTTTCTTGGATTTCGGGTTAATTAATTTAATCTCCTTACATAAGAGTAAGACTCCCTTCCCTTTGTTAATCCTTTCGTCCAATTATTGGATTGGTTAATGATCGGTGAATTGATTTTTTCTTTGATTGGTCCAGCATTTTGTTCCCTACTCTTATATTTAGCACAACATAATGCAGTATTATGAGAACCTGTCCAGTGGAAACATGGATGTTTCCCTTTGTTGCAATCATTTGCCTTATGTCCTATTTGAAAACAATCAAAGCAAGCATTATTCTCTCTCAAACGTTCCATCTGTTTTTCGAGAGTGGGATAAGTTTGACATTCGTTATCTCAGTAGTCCTTGTCATAAAAGGAACAAGGTCTTCTTGTTTTGCTATCCTTGGAAATTTTCTTTGAGTTATGGTCAGTTTAGGACTACTTGTTTTGAGCTGTTTGACTGCAGCTAAAGCTGAAGTTTCTCCTATAGTTCTCCGCGGGAATCAGTTTGGCTTAGGCTCTGTCAACTCTTTTTTTTTCATCCCATTACTAAGGATTTGGTTGCTAGCCACTTCATTTCTTCGCACTAGTTTTCCGAGGATTGTTGGAGTTTATCGATCAACCATAATTCTTGTTCCTCTTTTTGTTGATATATCTTGTTTAATGTTCAAACTGATAATTTAATTTCAATAAGAACTTCGATGCTAGACAGGGAAGAACCTACTTCCCTATAGCTTCTGGCTGTCGAAGTATTCTTTCAATCGTCTCGACGGTTACTATCCATTCTCGGTCATTTCTCTTGATTGAATATAACTCTTTTATAGTGAATGATTTGCCAGATTTTTCAATTAAAACTTTTCTTATAATATTATAATTTTCTGGAATGATATCGTAATCTCTAATGGCTGGCTTGTAAGATGTCCCCTCTGAGGAAATTAAATAATTCAATTTTTGAATATCTGGAAAATTTGCTGCAGCATCAGAAGTACTTCAGAATTTCCTCCACAATTTTGGATCACCACTGAATGTTGGCAGTGGTAGCTTTGGTAAATTTACCGTTGTACAGACTCTTCGGATGACTGCTTTTGCTAGGTTAGTAGGTTAGTTCCTTGTTTATAATGCCTTGGCATAGGTGGTGAATCGTCAACTCGAAGTCATTCTTACATATATTTAAAGTTATAATGGCTCCTTCACCGTTATGCATTAAATTAAAAATATCTTTTTCTCCGTTGGCTATTTTCGCATATTTCTTTTCTTCTTTCCTTTTTTCGCGCCTATTTCTATGTGTACTCCAACTATTTCTTGTTTGTTGATTCGAGAATGCCAATACATAGTTCGAGGCGCTTTGTTTTTTCAACGATTCTTTTTCTGACCTCGTATTGTTGCCGCAATTCTTCCTTTGGCAATTGTTGATCTAGTGGTGCTAGATCCATTTTTTCGACTCCGTTGAGAATCTTTCCAATTTTCGTTTTGCCGGTTGCGCATTTCTGATTATAGTGGCCGACATTTCCTAATCGTAGGATCCAAATATTTGTTGTGAATGTTTTCGAAATATTATGCGTAGACACAGTCGAATATTGGTTAATGAGGTTTATTAATAGACGGAGAAGTATTATACATTACAAGAGAGTTTTCAGAAAATATTAAATACAACTGAATTGTAGAACAATCTCTTGTAGAATTACATGCCGTAGAATGTGTAGTTCCTTATAGTTTGGAGTTTGTTTGCAACAATTTAAGTAGAACCGATTAACCCCCTTCATGACCTGAAGTTCTTTAAAATATGCCGACGTTGACGTGAACCTTTCTCAAAATTTCAGCAGCTACTTGTCGTGATCTCGATTATTCTTGTCCAATATTGGTGCGAATTACTGATTGTGAGGATTTTTTTCCACATTATTCAATGAAAATTATTTGTCCTTTTTCTTGCGGTTTTTGCTCGGATAATAACACTGGTAACTACAACAGCAACGGCAACAATAACAATAACAATAACAATAATAACAACAACAACAACGGCAATAATAAAACACCGAAGAAATCGGTTGGAAAATGTGAAGATCGAAGAAGTTTTATAACATGTAAGTTGGTACTTTTTTTTAATGAATGTGATGAAAAAGTTAATTTATGTGAAAAAACATGTGGTGGTTGTTGATGTTTAACAATTTTTAGAAATTTATTGATGGAATAAAAAAGAAAATGGGAGAAAAGATAAAAATTTGATTTATATTTAAATTTATTTGAAGAAAACTGTAAAATTTCAAAGGTAGAAAATACTTTTCTATTTATTAAAGGAAACATTCAACTTGAGCTAATAATTATAATGGATAAAATTTGAGGAATTAACTGATGTGGCGGATACCTCATAATGTTTCTGTCTAAATCTATAATGCTGTTCACTAATTTATAAGTATGTTTGTTCAACTGTTTGATCAACTACAAAGACTAACCGGGAAAAGTGCGTACGAATCTATTTCTTAGATAAAGATTAATCAGATGGAATTAATCATAACTACCCGCTTCTATCATGGGAATTATTTCGGGGGTTAATTTTTGCATTGTCCAAAAGCGAATCAAAAATTATTTTTTTCCCGGCTAATTTTTCCGGTTGCCAATTACATGAATTGATATATCAATCCGACTCTTTCCATTTGTATCCGTGACTACTGACTTGACAAAAAAATGAAAAATAAAATTAATTTTTACTGGACGAACCATCTTCATCCCTCGAATTTATCCTTTTTTAGTAAGTTTTAGAAGACTAAATTCGGGAATTCATCAAACGAAATTTCA